TGCACAATTCAAAAGCAAACAGGACGGAAAACAGAACTTTTCTTTCAAGGCCAAGTAAAACATGGGTGAAGGAGAGCATGGGTCGGCCTGCAAAAGGGGGCCAGTGATGCAACTCAGGCATCGGGCACAAAACCCACCGCAGAGGGAGGGGAGCGCTGGAGAAAGGAGTACGTTTCGGCAGCTCATGGCTTCTCCATGGCAGAGATAAGAACTTTACACACGGGGGGTGGGCAGGGGAGGGTGGGGGGGAAGAGTACCCAGCCCTAATAAACTAATCTCAGCTAATGTAATGTTTATCGAGTTCCTTGGATAATGATACCAGGCGTGTCATTATCATCATCAAAACCCAATCTCTGTTTTAAAAAGTTACAGATGATTAACACAACATCAAGTTGCTGCAAACAATTACTTAAAACCCCCGCACAGACACAGACGCACGCGCGCGCACACACACGCACACGCGCACACACACACACACAGAACCAGGAGGTCCCCATATTCTGTAGAATGAGGGAGGCTGCAGCTGTAGGCCGACAGCTTTCATATCCTCATTTGAATAATGTGTCCTGAATCTGTCACTTTATTCATTCTCCTTATGCTCAGTGTACTCTACATCAACAACAAATTAAGTTGTAAATAAGAGACAATCATCACTTTTGTTTTTAAGCAGCTACTGCGGAGAGAATTTCAATGTACGCTCCTTTCGACAGGGGGGAAAAAAGAGGTGCTAGAGTTTGCTTTCCTAAGCACAAATATGGGAAAACTAACAGAAACGAAAACAGAAACAGTTCACTGTGGCTAAGGGGAGGAAAAAAAAATTCTCTAAAGCGCATCCCTCCAGGACCAGCTGAAATTTCTTCCAAGAAGTTATTAAGACATATAATGACAGAGGAGAAGGTTCCGGGACTAGAACAAAAATCCGTGCGCTCAGTCGTTTGGCCTTAATACACAAGGAGCCTCCTTGCTTGGCACAGCTTTGGACCGAAGGACAAGTGCATTAAATCAATTACAACACAGAAGTATTCACTAAACGACCCCATACTCATCTCCATTAACTTCTAAGAGTTCAAATTACTACCTCATGCACAGAAACTGAAAACATAAATTCTGAAAAACGTCCTTACCTTTACATCAGAGAAGTAGGTCTTCAGCATGTTGGAGCTGGGATAACGGGTATAAAAGAACATGAGCTTTGCTTTTTTCAAGTGATTGGGTGACAATCCTTCCTGCATGTAGGATGCAATTGGTTAAGGAGATAATTTCTTGAAACGCAGGTACCTACCATCCCTCCCTCCCCCCTGCCAGGAGTCTGGAGGCCCACCCAGTAGCCACGGGAATTCTGGAAGATAAACAACTCTGGCCATGGAATTCATCACTAACTTGCTCTTGCTGGCTCAGAATGACCATTGCTGGTCAGAAATTGCCAAACATAACAGTGAGGATGCACAATTGAGTTGTGGGATCTTGGTGACTTCCTGGTGAGGATGGCAAAACATTTATTCCCCCTGTTTGAGGTCCTTAGGCTATCTATATGGTCACTTGTTGCTAAGGAGACAAATGCGCCCAACAGGTATTGCGCAACTCTTATCATGAGTTTTTTTCCTTCTTTGCATTACAGTTCTGTTTGTTCTTCTCTTTGCTCTCTGCAGTTGACATCCAATTATTATACTAATGTAAGTGAAAATATAAAATGCATTATTTTGATCACTGTTAGGCAAGCTTCACATTTTACCTTTTAGTGCTAATATAACGGAGCATCTTGACTCACTTTCTTCCTATCTTATTATTATATCTTGTTAATTGTTTTCCTTTTCAATAATAGCTAAAACTTGGGAGGGGTAGTTTGGGCACTGAGAGAACAGGGAGGGGGTGTTGCTTTTGTTAAAGCAAGGATCCAAAACCAAATACAATTTGCCTCTCCTGGATTTATAGTTAACTCCTTGGAGAGTGGCACAGTGGTTGGGGCTAACAAATCAATAAATGTGGGTTAGCAGATCAATAAATGGCCACTTACCCAAAATAAGAAGGCCTATTTATCTGGAAACATCATTACCTTTTAGATCTGTAAACAGCAGCAACTAAAACAGTTCCCAAGAGAATGTGAGGCTAACCATAACAATCCCGGCTTCCTGATTCTCCCCCAGATTCTTGGCACTCCTCAGCACACTCGGAGCGGGGATGGCTCTGGTCACATCTGTGCCGCAGCCTGGCCCTGCCATTTCCTCAGCAAATTAATGGCTTTATAATTTATCAGAAATGAAGACGCACGTGGAGAAAATCAATGTGGTCCCCCACAAGGTCAATTAAGGGTCCTTCCTAGAAGCTCCTCTAAGGATTTTCTCTTAAAAGAGAATCCGGGGAAACAAAAAAAATAAGGAAAAAGAAGAAAAGAAAATGTGCATGTGTGGTTGTATGCACACATGCACAAGCACACACACACTTGGCTGACAAGCTCCACAACCATTTCACACCACATGAAGCAAGGTCAAATAAACACAGATATTTAAGAAAGGCAAAGGTTTCTAAATGACCTCCATCAAGTACAGCGTGCCCAACCTCAGGAACAGAGGGGGAAACCTGAAAGTTCCTAGAGAAGCATAATTGAATTAATATTGATAAGCTCTTGACTACGTATAAGAGGGGGCTTAACCAAATATAATGCTGAGAATTTGATCAATTAGCATGCCCTTTAGTATCATGCAATTGGAAAAAGATCACCTTGGTCTGTGAATTGAAAAGTTAATGCCTTTTGTTTTCACTGAAAATAAACACTAAACACCGAAGAAAGAAATTTTGATGTGAGATCTGTAAGCCAAAGCAGCTTAGCTGAACTTGTGTTTTTGTTTGAGATCCTTAAAGATTACAAAGACGGTAATTTATGACTGACATACTTCCTGTGCCAAGGAAAGAGCTGAAAGGCCCTCCAGTAACCTCCATTAGACCGAGAGAGGGGACTAAAGGAGCCCGGCACACTTCAGGACCATCTGTCCAAATGGATAAGTGAAATAATAGTTGCAAGCTGTCTCCTATTGCCTCGTGATAAGAGTTTTAGGCAAGTCCAAACTTCAACAAACATGCTCAGATCTGGGTTCTAATCTGTTCTTTCAGACCGGCTACATTCAAACAACCTGGTACATTTAATTATTAGCGGGGAAAAGTCCCAAATCTTTTCAAATTTGGTCTCATACAAAGCAAACTGCTTTGCTGCGGCTCTCAAGAGATTTCTTGAGCCACCAAAACTTCCTGGAGCTTTCAATGTCTTTAAATTATGCTAAGATGTTTTCATCATTTTTATTTAAAAAAAAAACAAAAGAGCAAAGTATCCATCTTCTTTTGATTGGGATTTAGAGGCTTTTTATTTCATGACAAAATCATCCTAATTTGAATTTCTCAAGTCTTTTTTTTTTTTTTGCTTTAAAATGCTTCCTGTTGGAAATACTTGGAATCGATCAGTGGCAATGGAACACAGAATACATCTTTATTTCTTGCTCATCGTGTAATGAAGATAAAATTCCCATAAAATATATGTTTCTAATAAACTATTAAAAATAGCTAATGAAAGATTTAAAAGCCAACAGTTAGATAATCCTTTTTTTTTCCTCCTCAAAATAAATCTGAACTGACCAATTGGTTAATTTCCCTTTTAAGTGCTTGTGCTGAAAAGCAACTGTTCTTCCAAGAAAGCACTAGCTGTTTCCAGGATACTTACACACGCACAATGACTCATGATGGAATAGATTCAGTAAACATACAGCTGTACTGAACACGAGCTAAGCTCCATTCAAGGCCAGGAAAGAAAATGAGCACAAATAAATATTAAGGAGGTAAAGGGGGGGGTGGGGTGAGGGGGGATGGAGCGCAAACAAGATCTGTCCCGGCAGCTCATGTGGCTTTGCCTCAATTCTCTTAGCCATAGCTTTGTGAAGACAGATGACATTCAATTCTATGTATAATGCAAAATAGACAATAACTGCTGAAACTTGAGACAGCTGCCAGGTGTAAAAAAAAAAAAAAGAAAAGAAAAAAAAAAGAAAAGATGATAAATCCATAAATTAATGAAAGACATCTGCTGGGGAATATAAAAGATCAGAGAAGTAGGGGACTGCAGCTGAACCTAAAACGGTGTTCAAACAACCTGAGGATGTAAGTGTTGTCTGTTTACCAAGCACGGTATAACCTCACCTAAACAACAGCCGCAGGAGCAGCGGAGGCAGCAGAAAGGCAAATGGGAGGATAATAGGTTGTGAAGGCTGCAGGAAGAAAATTCTTTTTTTTCCCCAGCTGAATCCTGAATTGTGGCTAGAGGTTTTACCTGCTGCAGGGCCAACCAGAAGGATCGGGAGTACTAATTCTCAAACGTTTTTGAAATCTGGAGGATTTTAGCTTTCTCCTTAAGCTCTGATTTGCTATGTTTCTAAGAGACTTTTCCCCCTTAGACACCTTAAATGGGCAGAAAAGATCTAAATTCTCACATTTCATAAAGGGATAGAGCCAGTTGTGGCTCCACTAAGAAGTTTAACATAATCAATGGGATATGTAGTTTATGGATTTTTTTTTTAAACGTACTTACTTCATAATCAGAGGGAGGGAGAAGAGAGGAACCCAGAGTCTTCCAGTCTTTAACAGTCATGTCTCCCTACAGATAATACACCTAATAGAACTCCTGTGGCCCCACATGACCTCCAAAATTGTAAAAAATCAACTTCTACGGATTCATTCATATTTTAGAAATTCACTTTGAATTCAGGTTTTCTGGGCGGATTTTTAGCTGCAAATTATTAAGCCATTTTCCTTTTGAACCTCAAGTATTTTTTAACATTCTCCCTAAAAGTCCAACAGGGAAAGCTGGCTGCTGGGGTGCAGAGTCTCCGTTTCTTTACCTGCACGTCTTAACCACGCTTGGAACATGGCTCTTGGGCTTTACTTGGGTGCATGCAAATGTTTGAGGCCTGAACAAGGCTATTTTTCTTGAGATGCAAAGAGGATGAATGACAAGGAACATCAGGAGGAAAAACAATTGGCTGGCTGTTTCTTTTGGAATTTGAATAAAACTTAATATTTGATTAAATAGATTCATTTGCAAAGACACTGAACAAATTTTTTATATCCAAGACATGAGCTTCTGGGGCAGGTGCACTGACATTCAGTTTACCATGCACACATTCACTACTGCCTTTCTATCAGAAAAGATACCAAGGTAGTGCATTTCATGATATAGAACATGTATGCTTACTGCGCAGGGCTTGGAATGGATTTATCTGATAAGCTGATGTCCTTGATAGTTCTTATATGGGCTCCTTTGTTCAAAGAAACAGATGATGCCTTTGGGGTGGGAAAGAATCGTTCCTTAAGTATTCAATTATCCGTTACAGTTTGGAAAGCCATGAACTAAAGAGAAAAGCAATAATGGCTATCATAAAGATACCATTTCATCCCATTTCTCCTCATTTTGATGGAGCTTTTCAAAGGATAACTGCATAACAGGTTCGGATATGGCCTTGTCTACTTAAACTGAAGTCCACTGGCTTGTTCTGATTCTTAGAGAGTTCTTTAAACTAAAAGCTTGAGAATTTTGCCTAGGCACCATCATCAGGAAAGTCAAGGGAAGAACTCATGGCCACACAAGGACAGAAGACGGTAGAAAAGGAGATCCAGTCTCCCAACAGACACTCCTGTTCTCACGGCCTTCAGAACTGTGTAGGCTCCAGAAAATGGTACTCGCCTATCTTTTTCCTGAGAAATAACAGAGCAAAGAGATAAATGGTTAACAGGGCGAGGCTGTGGAGGGGAAAAGAGAAAGAAGCAGAAGCTGGAAGGCCAGCAGGAAGGAAATGTAATCATTAATTGCAGGAAGAGGCCAAAACTATTTAGCAACACACAAGAAATAACTCCAGGTGTAAGCAACTAGTATTTCACACGAACACAGGTGTTTCCAAACCATCCCTGTTGAGCAGAATCTTCTACCATAAGAGAGAGAAGTTATTCATTCCTTTGAAGAAGAAGCAACTAGATTCTCTTTAAAGCCTTTGATATGTATAGAAAGAAAAGGAAGTTCTTTCTATTCAAATCCTCAAAATTCCTCAGGGGATTTAGAGAGGGTGAGACAGAGAGCATAGGCAACATTTAGAGCAATCCAAAGATGGTTTTCTTAGAAGATTCAATTTATTTAAAAAACAACCACCAGAATCCAGCATCTTGAGTTCAAGAGTTAAGTATGACCTTATAAGACTTTGAAAGCTGGTTTCAAATAGTCATCCAAATGGGCATGTCCCTTTCCTCTGTGTGTGTGTGACAGAGAGAGTGAGGGGAGAGAGAACCCACCATCACTACAACTGGCTTCAAAATGAAGTAAGAGATCTCCAAAGAGCAATGGGGTCTGGCCCTGGACATGAGCCTGGTATGAGCCCCAGAAGACACTCTCCTGCAAAGCGCAAAAAAAAAAAAAAAAAAACAATAATCAATGCCTGTGCCTTTGTACGTTGCCTTTCTCATCACCAATATTTCAGTTTGACCAATGTTTATTGCCTGCTTATGATGTGTATGACATGGTGCCTGGCACAGCTTTGATTCAAGACTGGTGGATTCAACCTCAGATCTCTGAAAGTTAGATTTGTAAATCAGCAACCAAACCACGACTCATCTATTTACGTCTTCAGTCCTCACATCTTTCCCTCCAGACATTATCTTCTTCTTCCTCTCCATAGAAAGAGACTCTGTGCTTAGCTGCCCAAGTGGGTCTCACATGTGTATTACACATTCACCTTACCAGAAATCTTCACTGCTATCCTGAGTTGGCTGGAAAAGATGACCTTCATATCAAGGAAAACACATTTCTACCACAGCTGGGACTTTGCCCTTACATGGCAGCCTCTGGAGTGGGGATAGATATGAAAATGCCAATCTCTAGTCATCAAGACGATTGCTCAAAACCCTCATGTTAGCAACAGCCAACTTAATAGCTAAATTTTATATCCATCTGGCAATTTCTTATAAAAGAAACATGCCTTTACTTGCCCCCAAATGCTACTATTCTGCTCCCCCAAAACATCAACCACACAATTTTTTTAAAATTTACTAAAAGGACCAATTTATAGAGAAAAAAAATCATGAGTTAAAAATAACTAGAGTTCAGGACAGGTCTAATGAAAAAATATAACTGGCATTTCAAAAGTCAGGTTCAAAATATAAAAGAGACCTAAAAAGAGGCATTTTTAAAGTTGAATACAGCTGAGTTTTATATTTAATTGTGCTCTCTCGCTTTCCAAAATAATTTGCTTTGTGTATGTTAGGACAAAAGATTTCTGTGTATGGCTGAACAGAGGTTAATCATGCATAGAGGCAGCTGCACCAGACCCGAAGAACAGACCTTGGGAGAACGAGAGACGGATGTCGTCTGAATAAATCAGTACCTGTATATTTCCCTAAAAAAAAAAAAAATCCCCCTTAAAGATAAGGAGAGCATCTAACTCCCCATTCACATCCATCTTTCTCCCACTGCAGACTCCCACCAGCAAAGTGTTCCTCATGAGATTTAATCAGGCCTTCTTTAAAAGGACCAGGAGCCTTCTAGATGGCTAAAGGGAGAATCCTTCTTACGGAATCTTGGGGATCTCAAAACTGACTTTACTCCACTATAAAACTTACTATGTTAAAATCTGATGAGTGCGATATTACACTGAGATTTCCCCCCTCCCCCATCCTCTAAAAATACTCTTGGGGGGAGAAAAAGAATAAGATAATACAGGAAGAAACAGCAGGAAAAAACACGGCTGCAAAATCACAGATGAAATAGAAGCGCTTGCAGGCAATCAACAACTTGTGAAAGTTGCAGGCATGTTGGTTTCCTGTAAAGCTTTTGTGCAACCAGAAATGCCACGCGCATGTTGATAAAAGCCTATGACTCGGAATAAGAGGACAGACTGGAGAAGACTCTAAAACCTTGGGTAAACCTGACCTTGTGGGGAAGCCTTTTTGGTTTCAGTTTGTTTTCTCTTTGGGGTGGGGGGTTGGTGGGGGGGCAAATGAAAGGATATTGCACTTCCCGAATACGGTGAGATCTCAGACATGTCTTGAAGATCGCCACACTCGGATTTGATGAGAGACAAGGAGAGCCCTTCCGCGGTGCTGGGTGGGTGTGCTGGTGAACAGGGGTGGTGGCTCAGGTGGTGGGACGACATCTTGGTCCTCAGACTCGTGGTCTCCCTAGTTAAGTCTAAGGATTCAGGAGAGGCTCGGTCTTTCCCCGAGAAGGAGCCGGTGGGAGCACCTATTGGACTCTGAAACGGGTAGGCCATCAAGGGGAGGGGGAAGGGGTGGCGGAAGGTGGACGTGGTGAAGCCCGCGGTGGCCGACAGGGGCGACTGGTGCAGGGGCTGGTGGTGGCCACCGGCCGGGGGGCCGGGGGCAGACTGGTCCGAGGAGTTTTTGCGGACCACCAGGGGCAGCGCTTCGGTCTGGTCTGTGGAACCCGGCATCTGCACGTTGCCAAAGGTGTCCAGGGGATTCGGAATGATGACATCGCCAAAGCACTGCAGGCGCTGGTTGGCGGTGTGGAAGTTGTGGTTCTCCCCGTTGACTGCAAACCTGGCCTGGGGGATCTGCAGCGGTGGGAAGACCTGAGGAACCTGGCGGGAAGGTTTGGCCGAGAAGACTTTGACCACCGTGTCCACCACTTGCGACATGGCAGTGTTCAGTTCCTGTTTCAAGGTCTCGGCCAAGTGTTTGCCTTCGGGCTGCAGCGAGTTGGGCCCAGGGTCTCGTTCTTTGTGGCTGCCTTCCCGCTTGGGCTTGTTTTCGGCCATTTCCTGCTCCCGGATCAGAGCCCGGGCTCGGTCGATGAACTGCCCCGGGTCCAGCTCGCACATCTCGTTGTCTGACCTCCCCACCGAGTCCTGGGCCCGGGCCTCCAGGATCTCGGAGCGCATGCTGTCTTCAGACAGGTTACCATCTTCATCATTTTCAGAGTCGGTGCTGTCATAGATTTGGTAGAACTTCTCCTGCAGCTGGCGCAGCTGTTTCTGCATGTCCTCCAGCTGCTGCTTCAGCTGTCGGCGCTCCTCACGCTTCTGTTCTTTGCGGGCTGAAACCAGCTGCTGGAAACTCTGCTGCTGCTGCTGGGGCAGCTTCTGCTTGCGTTTGTTTTCTCGGTAACTTTCGCGGGGACTCACGGACTGCGGGGCCATCTCTCTTTCATTTTCATTGCCCCGTAATGCCACACTGGGGGAATGGCTCATTCCCCGGATTATATTCTCAACCCGGGCGCGCTTTGCTCTCAGGTGCTCGTCGCATAAGCGATCCATATCAAACTGGCTCATAGTAGGCCTGCCAAAAGGGGAAAGACACTCTGGGGGGCTGTCTCTTGAAGAGTTGCTGCATATATCCTCCTGATGTACTTCGGAGCCTGTACTAGAGAGACCGCTGGCTTGGAAACTGGGCTCTGTGCCACCATTTTTGTTCATGTTATTTTTCAACAGCTGGGAAATTATGGTTGCTCCTGGAAAAGGCATCATGGCATCTTCATACGAGTTCGCCCTCTTCAGCAGCTTGCGGAGTACGTTTGACTTCTCCCCATCTGCATGCTGCACCACTGAATACTCAACATCCTGCTCGGAACCTTGGGGATTCATGGCACTAAAAAACGTGGCTCTTGCCTTAGCGAAAAATGCAGATGCTGTCCCTACCGTCCTTTTCACTCCAATGTCAACTCTTCTCCTCTTGGTTTGCCGGCTTAAGAGGGCTGTGCTGTCATGGTCAGGCATCACTGGACAGTTATTGTGCCATCTTCAAAAGCTCGTCAGCTGGGCACAGCTCAAGAATCCCGGGACCCTGGCCAACAGAACAAAAGGACTGATGAATCATTTTCTTTAAATTTCTCCAAATTTCCTGACCTCAATCCTGAATCAAATGCAAAATGCATAGGCTCTGGGATTTATGGCACATTACAATTATTGCAATTTATTATGCACTCTGCTTGAAATGAAACATTTTTAAATATTTCTGCTCCACTGGTTTAAGATGGATTAAGATTAAAAAAAAAAAAAAAAGCAAAAACTGCTTAAGCACCAGTAATATGATTCTCTTTCACAAATGCCTAAAATGATACTGTTTATCTTCAGAAGAAACAGTAGATTATAAGAACACAGCCTCTGACAACCAATTGATTAAATTTTGGGCACTGAGATTCATATTACAAAAGCAGATAAAAGTGGTCCATACTTAAGAAATAAGGTTAAATTTTGAGGATGCATGAAATCTGAATGAAAAATTCCATCTGCAATAGAATTATTGTGGCTTTAATGCTATTAAGGGGAAACAAGTCTAAAAAATGCAAATATTTCACATACACCCTTTATTACTGAATTGAAAAATATTTTTGTCATATGTGAAATGGGGAAGAGAACACTCCCATCAGCATCTTTCCAACACAAATGGTCAATTTAACATGGAAATAAATGCACAAATACTCATTTTACAAGTCTGCTTATTTAGCACAGATATGTGGTTTTTTTATTACTAAAAATCACATCTGAAGATGGTGTCTGTTGCTGGATTTTAATGTAAGTATAAGGATATTTGTAAATTTTTATCTTGTCTTTTTGATGACTTAAATTTTAAAGTTGGACCCAGTGCAAAAGAAGGACATTATCACATTTTAGAAATCCATATGTGGAACAATAAATTGAGTTAGGCAAGGATAAATACATCATTAGTACTAGGTTTTTTTTTTCCCCTATAATCTGCCAAAATAATACTTCATATGCCTGAAGAAACTCTTTAACATACACCATTTGTGAATCTTATTTCTCATGCCAAATTAAAACATTAAAAAAAAAAGACTGAAAGGAGATACATAAAGAAGAAAGAAGATAATGTCAATTAACTATGTGAGAAAGGGAAATACTGTCTCTGCATATGAACTTCCATTGTTTCTTGAGAACACAATATAAAAAGAGAATATCCTTCCTTGCATTTTACGAAAGGCACTTGACATATTTTGTGGTGTTAACCAGTGATGCTAACCCCAAATTCTGTCTAAACGTTAAGATGTCACATCTCCCTGCTTACAATGGACGTTTTAAGAAGAAAATGAAAATATTTTTTTTTTCACACGGGGTTTATCTAATATTAAACTTCACGTTTGCTTAACAGAGCACATCTTCACAATAACAGGGTCTATTGCCAAAGGCAGCGTGCAGAGTGTTTGGAAGAGCTCCCATCTCTTTCGGTTCACCTGTAAAAACATCTACGTGCTCCCTAGGACTGCATCTGTGGCTAGTTTTAAAGAATGACTATCCATGCAAATAGGCATAATTTCAGCATGAAATAACCTGTAAAAATTAAGAAAAAGCTCAATGCTTAGATGGCAATGTGTATTTTTTTTTAAGCAACAAAGATGTCATCCTGCAACCCTTGTTCCCAGTTTTCCTATGAAGATGCAACCTTTAAATAAAACCTGGTTCAGAGTGTCAAGAAAGCAACACGATGCTTCTTTATATGTTTTTTGGATGCTCGAGGGTAAAATAGTTTTTGTGTGCCTCAGGACTAAATTTCCTAAACTTGGAATGGAATCAGATCTTGATAACTTCAGCATTAGGGTTCAAAATTGAATTCAAGATGATTGTGACCCCTCACACATTAATAAATGAAACTGGCTTCAGTAATACAAGAATCCAATGGCAAATATTTCACTAACATGTTAGATCTGATAAATCAGGTACAGCTGTAAAGTGAGAGAAAAAAGGGGGGAAACAGACAGACAGGAAAAAAGATGAATTATTTTAAACCTCAGAAAGACTCGTATATTGAGGGGGAAGTCTTTGCAAGGAGGATTCTGTGTGTATATATCAGCTTTTCAAAAAGAGAGTTCATTGCCAATTCTTTAAAAATTTTACCTCTTGTCTTTTTGTGTGTAAATCATTTTCTCCTTAATAGCACCTGAAAAGCACACAGGTCTCCAATCAAAATGTTGACTAAACTTTCTGCAGTATTTTCTTCCCCTGTTCCTCTTAACATCCTATCTGGATTTTCCTCCTACCCATCCTTGTTATAGGAAGAGCATCTCTGCAAGAGAGGCTCAGAAACAACACGCTGGTATAAGAGATGAACACAAGGTCACCCACAGCCATCCTTCCTTTCCCAGCTGCCTCTACCTCTGCGTCAACTGCACTTCCTTTCCTCTAGCCGAGGTATCAGCAGCTGCATCCCCACCTCATGCTTGAGCCAAGAGGAGAGCTATGCTTTTCCTAAGGTGGAAAGAAATGATACGCTCATCTTCAGTGGTGAATGCGTGTTAATTAAACATGATCGTTGGCTGTTATAAGAAGAAACTCTCCTGTAACTTCTTTAAAATTCCCCAAACGAAACTGATTTTTGCAATTCTCTTTCAACTGGTCAGCATTCTTAGATCAAATAATAATTTGTTTCTGTTTGGGGCTAAGGGAAATTACATACTTTTAGGTATTATTGTAAAATGTACAGCTGAGACATAACAATCAGGACAAAACAAATGGGAAAACTAGAAAAAATGATATAATCCAGCAAGACAAGGCATTATATTAATAGGCGTGAATAAATAAATCTCTCTATATAGCTTTGAGCTGAATTCAAAAATGAAGGTATAGGAGTCATACACATTGAGATTATAACCCATGGAGGATATAGGAGAAATTAAATAAAATAACTGGTTGACTATAGTATTTTATCAGCATCATGTTTCATAAACAGTATATATAAATATTTTACCACACAAGAAAATGCATTGTTAAATGACTATAATATAAATTAAATCACCTGAAAATGCTTTCAAAAGTGCTTCCGTGACTTCCCAGTTCAGAATTTAGAGAATGCTATGGAATGAATTTATCAGTGATAACAATCTGCCCATTAAAGATTTTTTAAAATTCCCTTATTTCTTAATATATGTATTAAGCCATATGTTTCAACTACAATTATTATTGATTTTTATTATATTTAATCTTGAGTTTAACCTGGCAATGGGAAACCTTCTGATCAGCACTGGTGAACATCAATATCAGCAAGTATGCAGAAAAATACTGATACAGAATTTGAACCCAAATAAATGTATTATCGATCGATACACATATTCTATTCCTTTAAACTCCTTTTAATTAATATGAAAACCTACATAGAATATTTTATTATTAAATATTGGGTTGTACCACTTGTTATCTAACTACACAAATGTTTTAATAACTTCTATACGAGGAATTTCTTAACATTAGCAGATTCTTCCCAGAGAAAAGAGAACAAACATCCAAGTACAATCAAGTCAGATTTTAAGGACTCCACAACATTCTTCATTAAAACCTGAATTATCTGAAGAATGTCAGATAACTTTACAAGGAGAATCCTAAGGAAGCTGATGATAATGTCAGTAGAAAAGAATTTTCAGGGAAGGATTTCAAAGGAACACTGCAGTGTGAAGTAGAAAGTGGTGAAGTGCTCTGCTTTAAGTTTACGTATGGATGAGTCCCTTCGCCGTTCATCTGAACCTAGCACAACACTGTTAACAGGCTATACTCCAGTGCAAAATATAAGTTTAAAGTTTGGGGGGAAAAAGTTATTTGGGGAAAGGGGTGCAACCTTTATGCCTCTATCTGAAGTCCAGATTCTGTACAAAGATGTGTTCACTATGGTTTTTATTCAAATAGTTCAGGTAAATCTTTCATGAAATGGGGAAGAAGGTATGGTTGGCATGGTTTCCTACTTGGATTATATAGATTATCAGTCTTGATTGATAAAACGATTTGAAGAAATTGCTCAAGCCTATGCTTTTACTTCTTTTAGAAGACCACCTTTAAGTGGGCCTCTGATCTACTTGAGTCAAGTCCCTTATGAAATTTCAAGTGGAATAACACCAACAAAGGACACTGTGAATCCATCTGGAAATCAGTAATTCAAGGGGGAAAATCAGATGACTTGATTTAGGTACTCCCCTCCCCCACCCCACTGCCGGACACCGCCCCCCCGCCCCCCGCCCAGACCCCCTACCAAGCTGTCCCCTTCACTGTATTTAAGAGTTCATTTCTGCTAATTAGCAACTTTCTCTTTGGAGATGTTCCTGCTTTAAGGTTAAGAAAGCCTTTGGTGTTTACTGTGAATAATCCACTTGATATTAGTTAATACTTAAATTAATTAAGATTGTATTGTCAAAAGCTTATAACAGACTCTAAATTTTCCTATCATAGAGTTCTCAAATCAGAACCATTTCATTTAAAATTCCTCCATTCTATCAAAAATTCCATACATTTTTTACCTGCAAGATGAAAACAGCAATTTTCTGGAACATGCCTAAAATATTCATTTCTACTTATTTAAAAAGTAATAATTCACCAGATCAGTAAACAAAAGGGAGTGAGAAATAACTTCAAGAAGAAACAATTTTTTTTCTTTCTGAAGAGAACTGAAATACTCTAACTGTCCTTTGAAGCTTTAGAATACACCAGGCAATAAGGTTTTAGAAATTTCTTATGTATATATCCTTTACAATATATACAGATACTTAATTAGAATCCAATTATAACATATCAGGCACAATCCATCTTTCTATTATTAAATTACTAACATTTTATAAGCTTTTATTAATCTTGAACTTTACCATTTCTTATCTCAACAGTTGCAAATGCAAACAATACCTATAAGAAATTCATGAAAAAAGGCCTATTTCACTTTGAATAAATAAACAGCACGCCTGGCAGCTAGGTTATGTTTTAAGATTGTAAGTGCTACTTACAGAAGAAAGATGTTAGGGAATGAATAAAGTGAGAACAAAGATGCATGTTACGTATGCATGACATTTTTCTCACAAGGTGGTGATTAAACTAAATAGAATTCTGCATAATGGACACATAAAAATATCAATAAGTGCCCAGCACAGAAAATACTTATCAAAAATAAAGTGAATGAACATATCCATAGATGACATATTAATTATGAAAGAACTGCAAAAGCATCCAAGAAAAGTATCAGGAGGAACTTGGATGTTTAAGTTGAAAGAATAAATGACATACACTCTCATTTTCATGAAACAATGATCATCCACCAAGCAACCAAACCAACCAGCAAAAACCATTCGCCATCTAATCTAATTCTATGCAACTCAAGAAGCAGCCTGTTTGAAAGAAAAAAAAAATAAAAGATCAGATGTTGAGAATCCAGATATAGTGCCTACACTGAATTCTCAATAGCCTCCTTCACACACGAACCCACAGTCCTTACCTTCATCTGTTTTACCATTGCAGAAAGAGGTCCACGGTGTAGCACATGGACAGGTTAACCAAATTACTCCCCTTTTTCTTCATCACCACCCACAGCCCATTTAATTTTGAAAATGCTCAGAAGTTCCTGCAAGAAACTCTTCAGAGAGCGGACTGCCTGCATCTTGCATCAAATAGAAAAGCACCAGTTACCTCTCACATACTTGAGATTTTCCTTCTCCATCAAAGTACTAACTAGGACATCTGGCACATGTCTGGTACAATGACAGGCTCATTCTACTTTATGAGAGTATTTAACATACGACTTGAAAGAGTTTATGCACATACCTATTCTTTCTGGGCAGGGAGAAAGCACGCTAAAAAGATAAGCGTTAACAACAGTAACACTTTCAAACTGACTTTGGTATTCTTGGCAGTTACACATACTACCCATGGATGTCCAAATCACACACACACACACACACACAAAAGAAAGCTCTCACCACTCCCCCGCAACACCCCCACAGACCTGGGAGACAAGCGTAAACCAGAGGGAAGCAAAGAGAAAGTCAATGTCCCTCCACCTGCTGCCTGAAGTGGGGGGTAATTTCAGCTGCCTGGCAGACAGGAGCCTGAGACACAGCCTCCCTAGCAGCCTGCCAACATCCTTAAGAAAAATAAACAAACACATACCAACTTGTCCCCCACCCCCAACCAAAGGACTCACATGGCAGGGCTCAAAACATAACAACAGCCTAGTTCCCATTAGCCCGGACAATCCTATTAACCAGGGCAACCATAAATTCATAAACCTCTACAACCCTGGAGCACGCACCGTGGTCTGGAACGGTATAGACACACACAGACACGGAGGAAATTTGCACCTGTCTTTCTTGACACAATACACCTGCCAGGCCCTGCCCATGCACAGCCCTCGGGCTAATAGACCTCTGCCTACGTAGTCTAGGAAAGCGCTTTTTTTTTTTTCTTTTGGTAAGGGAGGTTATAGATGGGAGAGAGAGTGGGGTGGGGAGAGAGAAAGAGAAGAGACTTCTAGCCTTGACTTTGAGAGAAGGCCACCCAGTGCTTGCACTGTTTTCCTAAGCTCAAGGAGACAAGCAGACCTTCTTGGAAAAATAAAAACAAGCAGGTGAGTTCTCAGCCTTCCCCCAGGCAGAGTGGGTTCTGGATTGCCAAGAACAGCAGTTTCACACTCCAACCTGCCTCCTTGGGTTATTTAAGACTGTTGATCAACCCCTCTTCCCAGTTCTTCTCAGCCTGATGGGAGGACTCTCAACTTCCGAAAAAAAAAAAAAAGGTGGAAAAGTGGCGGGAGACCTGTGAGTCTCCCTCCAAAACTACTCCCCCTTTAACTTCCCTCCCGCGCCCCCCACCCCCCGGCCCCTCCAATCCACACTCTCTACCTACGTTGAGTTTTAGCCCGAGGAGTAAGTGGCGGGCACACCCGAAGAACCAACAACTTGCTAAACTGGGGGCTTTGGGGAATGCCTCCCCCCACCCCCGCAGCTTGCCCTCGTCGCCCCCTCTCCTTGTCTGTTCAGGCAAGAGAGCCGCTCTTCCCGCGCCGCTCTTCCCAGTAGCAATCACGCTCACCTCTCCATTCCTCCCTCTCCAGTCCTCCGAAGTGGGGCAAAATTGTAGGTACCACCCAGACGAACCAAGGTCAGATGGAAGCAGTCCAACCGCGCCGGCCGCCGGCGACGACTGCGAGCAGATCCGCTGGACAAGAACATCCCCTACCCCCACCCGGACCGCGATCCTTCCACTCTCCCGCGGCGCTCGCGCCCCAGCTCCCCCTCCGGCCACGCGACCCCCCGCCCCCGGCAACCCGAGGCTTCCAGTGCCACCTTACCCTACTGAACTTGACTTAGCCCTGGGTCCTGCGAGCTCAGGAGAGGGGCGCCGCGCTCGTAGCCCGGGACCATCTCTCCACTGCTCCAACCCCGATCTCAACATTTCGGCTTCGACAGCGTTTTGAGAGGCAAGTAGCCGAGCGCCCCCCCACCACCCCACCCCCTCCCCTCTGTCCCTTCCTCCCTACTCCCTGGCCCTCTGCTGGGGTTAAAAAGGAGAAGTGAAAGGTATGCAAATGACAAGCAAATTGGAAGAGCCTGGAAGAAAGGCAGCTATAATAAACAAGACAAAGAGAGAGGACGTGGGGGCTAGCCCAGGAGTTTTCCTCCGGGCGAGACGGGAAGGATGAAGCTGGGGAGGAGACCCGGGGGATCCAGACGAACAAAAAGCGACCCGGTCCCCCTCGCCGTCCTCTCTCGGGAGAAGAGGGCCAGAGAAAGAAGGAAAGGAAGCGAACGCCTCCTCACCGCGTCCCCCCCCGCCAACCGCCCCCGAAACACACACAAAAGGTGACAAGATCAGCGCCAAGTCCAGCACTACCAGCCTTCTGCCCCTCCACACACACACACCGCCAACACCACCCCCCCAGCCACCAGCAGGAAAGAGAAAGAAATAAAAAGCCAAGCGGATCACTTACTCTTAGGAACTGGGAGGAGCGGAGCGCTGAGTTCCACTGAGGCTCCAGCTTAGAAACTGTTTAGACGCTAATTTTTTCCCCCCTTAAATTATGATTCATCTAAAGAACACCCTTTTCTCCCGGGGATGGGGGTGGGGGGGAATAGATGTGTACACGGGTCTGAGTAATGGGAGTCTCTTTTTCTGGTCTTCTCATTCAAGAACAAGCCGGTACAAGTGATTCTGGAAAAGGGGAGGGGACTCGCGAAGGGGGGGAGAAGATACTTACGCGGTGCAGAGAGCGGTGGGACCCACCGAGCCTTTTTTTTTTTTTTTTTTTTTTTTGGGCAGGCGGAGAGAGGAGGACACACGCGCGCACACGCACGGGGAGAGATCTTGCGGGTGATGAATATGATAATTGGACAAGGGACGGTGAGTCCGTGCGGGCACGCGCGAGCGGGCCGGCGGGGAGAAGGAGACGGGAGAGAGGAGAGGGTGGGAAGAGGAGCGGAGAGCGCAGGAGGAGAGGCGAGAGGTGAGAAGGGAGAAGAGGGGAGAGAGGAGAGGAGAGGAGCGAAGCGGAGAGGGAGCGGGCGGACCCGGCGAGAGCTCTTTTGCGCCGCTCTGCTTCCCCCGGCTGCAATGGTGTATTATTTCCGAGCGCTCCCTCGGCTGAGGGCTCCGCTCCACAACAAGATTTACTTTAAGACACAGCTGAAGGAAACAGGAAGACTGCACGTCACAGTCTGACTGACGTACCCGGCCCCAGCACCCAATCGCGAGGCGCCTTCGGATTCAAGGGGGGATAGCGAGGCAAGAGAACTTGGGAGGAGAAAAAAAAATATATAAAAGGGGTGGGGGTGAGGGGCTGGGAGGAGAGGAGGGGAGAGGGGCCCCGCGCTCCCCTCCCCTGCCTCCATCCCCGCCCCCCCCCCTCCCCACCTCACCCGCGCCCAGCAGCCGCTGCTTCGGGGCGACCGGCTCGCTGAGCCCGCGGCCGGAGCGAGCGGTCTGCGGGCGCTGTGCTGAGCGCCGCTCGGCTCTCACTCGCTCTTCCAGGACGCAGGTCCTTTTTTTTTTTTTTTCCCCTCCCCTTCATTTCTCAGATACCGCTGATCGAGTTCGCCGAGCGGCCGAGCGAGTGAGCGCTCCTCGGACGGGGGGTGGAGGAAGGCACAGAAAAAGTGTTCTGGAGAAAAAATGGGGGTTTAAGGGGGGCTGGGGTGGTCTACGAGGAGAGAGCGGGGACCCTCAAACCATTCCACTTTTTACATGATCGTAGCTAGTATCAGGAATACATGTCACCCTGGCTTTCTTTGAAAGGAGAGGTGGACAATACAGGTAGGTTTGGGATTAAAATAATAGGTGCCAGAGGTTTGGCGTCGGCTCCGCTACATCAGATATGAGAAGACCAGTATTGGCTGAATCCCAGTTAATCTGTCAAAATTGTTAGGAAGAAGAATATTTGTCCTTGGTTACCTCTAACAACGTTATCTGGATTGTAGGTACAGCAACCTTTATGGGGGAGGGGGGGGGGAAACGTAACAAACATTACTACCAACCGATTACCGCTCAGTAACTCACTCACCCCAGACTGATTAGAGAAAGGTTTCATGCAGGATTTACACCGTTTTGACGCCTGGGTAACAAACTTTAAAGTTTCCTAGGTAAGAAATTTAAAGCGCTTAAATTTCGGGCTTCTGCGTCAAGCCACAGAAAATTCACTTTGTTTTGACATTTCTTGGACGAAAAATAACCAGCGCGATTTCTTTAGATCATGTGGCTCTTGAAGAGCTGCTTGGGATTTGAAAGTTGCTAATGCTGAAGCGCAAGGTTCCAGCCGCAGAGGATGTCTCTTTCACCGGGCACAGTAAACGGGCTTTTAATAAGACAACCGCGTTTATGACTTCAAGGTCCTATAAAAGCTGGCCCTTGCAAGGGCTGTGAAGCAGAAATATTCACACCCAATCGATAAGACGCTCTTTTTTTTTTTTTGGTAGGATGGGGACAAGTATTTTTTGTGTGTCCCTCGAATTTAACCAGATCAAAGGTTGAATCGTGTTGCGTCGTGACAACAGAGTGTTTGTGAAGTGTGTTACAAGTACACTGGCCAACCACCACCACCACCTTCCGCAACACACACACACACGCACACTTTTCCTGGGACAATTTCAGCCTCAAATTCATCAAACTGTCAAGAAGTCTAATCTTTGAATAAGAATACTGACAATAGTATGTTCCAGTCCATACCCTGTAGGAAACTTTTGGCACCGGATTCAAACATTGAAAAGAAGAAGAAGGGGAAAAAATTAAGCCGGCCGGGTTAGATGTTGGGGATCAGGAAAAAAAAAAAAAAGACTTGTTTGAGCATCCCCCCGCCTTCATTTCTCCCTTTTCGCTGCCTCCAGAAACTCCCTCCACCCACTATGGAAACAACATAGAGGCTAGCAAACACACGACTCACACTTCCAATGATCGGCCACTGCATCAAGTGTTCTAATCGAGATGTGACCATTTAGACTGGGCACAGAAATAGTCTAGCCACATGCCCATTAGATACAGGATGGAATAGTGTTTCTATTGGTTGGGTCCTTTCGAGGTAAGCGGGTGTACTGAGCGGAGAAATGTGGGTTCTGTGAATGATCAGCGCTACTTCCTTTTTTCTTTTTCGTCCTAGTATCTTCCTTAAGTATCCCAGTGTGTACCTGATAGCGCCAGCCCACAATTAAACTGGCAGAAGTAAAGGATATATGCCCTCCACACCTTAAAACCATCTGCTCAGTTTGACATTTAAAAGGGAAGAGGGCAGGGAAGGAGGGGTGGGGGGAAGGGGAAAGAAAGGAAGCTGAGCGAGAGAAAAGGTTCAGACTCTCGAAGGAAACGGCTTGAACTTTAGCCCACAAGTTTCTGTCAATTGCACCTAGCTCCCGGGTGCACGTTTTGCACACACTGCCCCGGGGAACTGGCGGCGGGAAAAGTTCCCTGAGAGCCCTAGTAAGTCCTTTATCTCTCCCCGGGGAAGGCAGGCCCGAGTCGAGGTCGGGGTACCCCGCTTGGCAGACAAGAAAGCTCCTCCACCCCCTAGCCTCGGCGGCAGAGGCTCGCGGCTCGCCAGCTCTGTCGCGGCGGTTCGCAGCCCGCACTGGGGGCACCAGAGCGGCTTGTGGAGTGAAATAGGAGCGCGCGCGACGCTGGACGAGCGAGCTCGGTCCGCAGCCCAGCTAGGCGAGCTGCGTATGCTGAGGCCAGAACTGTTTCCTAAAGTCTGGGCGACATACAGGCCAGGCTCCTGGCAACCTCTCTAGCCAGAACTTCGGCGCTCTCCCGGGTCTCAGGCCGCCCTGGATCAAGGCGTGAGGCCCAGGCTCCCTATCGGGCTACTCGCGGTTTGTTTTCTGATAGGCGAGAAGCGATCAGTCAGCCCAGAGACGAGAAGTCGCCTAGATACAGGCTCCATCTCTGAAACCATCGGGCAAGTTTAGGGTCAGTCCCTGTCTCCGTCCTACTGTCAACACAACCCCAGTAACTTAAAAGTTAACACAAGTTCTGACTGGTCTTCCAACAAACCTCATCCATGCAGTCTACATTTACTTATTTATCAGAAGGGTGATCTGTGCGTTCTTAGTCAAACTCTTTCACTTAGCACTTATGCATCTGGTTCTGGGTTAAACACACTTCTCCTTGATATTTCTTCGGTGTATTTTACCCCTCCGGTTCTTTCTTAAAGCCAGTAGATGGGGGTAGGAGAGAAGAGTGCATATCAGTAATTTAAAAACCTTACAAACAATCGTTAGCAGATCCTAAACAAACCAATTCTGGGAATTTCAATCAGATCCAGCTAAGAGACAAACATGGATGTTTATTTCAGGAGAAGGATGCTGAAGATCCAGCCTGGATATACACCTAACACCACCCACCACCTACTACCGCCACCACCCTGAAGAGAGGAAGAAAAAGAAATAAAAAACAACTCTAGGGTATAGGCCGGCCTGCTCCAGGCTGTCTAGAGGCGGACTGCCTGCTTGCCATATTCCTGCTCTTTCTCTCAATCCCTATGCCCAGTGTGAGGCCAAGACCAACGTGGATTTGTTCTGAATGGGGGGAAAAGTGAAATGCCAGGAGATCAGTAGCAAGTAGCAGCTGCAAGGTTTCTCTCCTGGGAACCCCACTGCTTAGAAGCCTCCAGAGCGATGTTTGTTTAACCAACAGCTTTCAAAGTAAATAGAAGCTATTCACTCCAAAGAAGTTGAAATATAACTCTTACAAGAATTTGGGGTTGGGGTGCTGGCAGAAAAAGTAATTTAAAAAAATAAAGCCCCCACCCCCAAATCAAGGTCCAGTACAAAGCTTCAAGGAGCCTAGAATTGTCATAAACAAATCCATGGAAAGGATTCCTTACAATAGTGACCTCGAAGAAAATCACTCTTCCCCCAAAAACACACACTCGCGCTGGGGAGGAGGGCTTAGTTGTCAGTGATCGAAGGGGCACGCTACTACTTGATTTTATGGAAGTGGGTGAAAACAATCAAAGGGAGGTACGATCCCTGCCTTAGAGTAGAAAGGAGTAGGCTGGGAGCTCTGCGTCGCCAACCCTGGCTTTGCCTCAGGCACCGAACTTTCCAATATCAAGATATTAACAGATGGTGGTGAGCACATGGAGGGCTGTTACTTACATAATCCAGCCACTCCGCCCGGGCGCGCTGAGCCCAAAGAGGCGCCCGCCAGGCCGCGCGCGCGCGTGTCTTCGGAGGGGTGCTGTTGCCCCACCCCCGACCTCCCTCCGGAATAACTTGCCTTTTTTCAACCCCACCGGGCTCTTTCAGGGTTGGGATTTGGAGAGGTTGTGATTTTAGGGGGGGTGGGGAACCACACATCGATCCTCTTGGGCTTTATCTTCTTCAGTCCACGGTAGAGAAGAAGCCAAGGGCAGAGAGAAGTGAAGGGGACGCTTTCGGAGAGAACTCCGCGGTCTCCCTCCGAATCTGGGGGTTTTGGGGAGTGGGATTCACGCCATTTACACCCCTCCCTCTTTGGCGCGGATTAGCATCTCTTCCCGTGTCCCTGAAATATTAGAGCAGGCTCGGGCCGCAGCCAGGGGGAGTGGGGTGGGGTGAGGGTGTGTGTGTGTATGCGCGCGCGCGCGTGTGTGTGTGTGTACGCCTCTGCACGCGGGGGCGCAGTGGGCAAAGTTACGCAGAGCCTCTGGGCACCGCCGTACTTCCGAGCTTTGGCAGGATTTTAAGCACTGGGTCTCGCACGTGGGGAACCCCTTTCGGGCGGTAGCGCCAGCTTGCCTGCACGCCCACAGCACCTCCCCGGAGGCCCGGTCGTCCCCCGACCCCCCACGCCCCGTGTGTCTGAGTACCTCCGCGTGCGTGCCCGGGGACAGATTTGTTTGACGAGCCTCCTTCCCGATGGCGACTCGGGGCCGCCCAAACCCGCGAGGAACACGCCTGCATGTGTCGGAAAAGTTTCGGGTCGGGTGGGAAGGCTGGGAGTCTCCTCTGCAGCCCCGAGGCGGGAGCGGGGCCTCCGAGTCCGTGTCTTCCTCCGGGTCTCCTCCTCCCTCCCGGCCCTTCCTTCCTCGCCCCGGCCCCGCGCTAGGTGTCGCGGCCTCTCCGGCCCGGAGACGACGCGCGCGAGTAGCGGCGGCCGTGGCGCCGCTCAGCGGGCGGAGGGCGCGCCCCCTCCCGCCCGCTGGCCCCGTGGGGGTGCAGGTCGCCCCGCCAGGAGCCCGCGGCCCTGCCCTTTCACGGGGGCCGCCGCCCGGCTCCGTGGGCCAGAGCTGGGCGCCCGGCGGGCGCGAAGGGCAGCCACCTGCTCCCCGCGCGCGGCGCGGAGCCGGGAACGTCCGACGCCTCTCGGCCCGCTCTGCCCCGCGATCGCCCCCGCCGCCCTCCTGTTGCTGCGGGGTCTAGGCGGCGGCGTTCCCGCCGCCGGTGGGATAGCTCAACCTGGAAGGTGGGGGCCACCGCTGGGGACCCAGATAAGGGCGGGGACGCTTGGAGGGCTGGAGACCTCCCCTTCTACCCACCCTCTTTATTTTCTCATTTGGCCTTTCTTAGGACAGTTTTCAGTCAAGGGTGTGAATTTCGGAGAAGATGCTCTTTTCAAGGAGCTTTAATGCTAGGACTTTAAGTCATCCCTACTGCCCAATTTAGGAGGCTTTTAATCTGGACGCCAGCGAGTTAGAAATAAATAGGTGTAGGCCAGGCGCGCAGAGGGAAAAAGAGAAGGAAGCTCCCAGTTTGGATTTATTTGGGGGGAGGGGGTGGTAGTGAGTGACTCTGGAAAGTTGCATTTTGTTTAAATTAGAGCAAGACAAAGTTGAAAGCCAGATTTCTATAATTTTTCTGGTAATATTTCTTTTATGAAGTATCTAAGTGTCTGTTTGTCATCATTTTGAGATCAAAAGGAAAATCCATATGCTGCATAGTTTTTCAAAATTGCTATTTAAATATGTTTTAAATGTTTTATCCGATGTGGAGAAGGCTGCTCAGAGGCAAGGCTGGTGACAGGGAGAGTGGGCTGGTTTGATGTGGAGCAGCGGTTCCCAAGACAGGGCTAGTCATCAAGAATCACCAAGGGAGCTTTTGAAAAATAAAGATTTCTGGGGCCACCCCAGCTAGGAAGTCAGCAGGAGGATGTGGGAATCCATGGGTCATACCGTGTTTCCAGTAACTGCTTAGCAAGTTGCCGACTCTGTGACCGTAGGTATGTCACTCCCTCTGAGTCTCAGTTCTTTTTATCTGTTAAGTGGAGATATTATCCAACTCCTAATTGTAGAGAGCTTTGCATGAGTAATATTGTTCAACACATGACTGGTGCTCAATAAAAACAGAAACTGTTCAGTGTATAGACGTGTGTTCGTCACGCTTGCACTGGCCTGTACTCCTCCTGTCATAGACACCTCTGCTCCCCACCCCCAATGTTTTGATGAAGCTAACAGGACGCTCATTTGATGTATGCATATTTTAGCTCATGCATAGTTGCTGCTTTAGACGCTTCATATGCTCACCTTTCATTTCTTAGGCCATGAAAACTAGAATTGGTGCATGTTTGAAAGCAGAAGCTAGGCCCTCTGTTTTTGGAGTTAGAATTGTCCATCAGGCCCACGGGCACCCATTTACCAATCTGAAATCCTTGCTTGCTTTCTTTCTCCTTTACATCCTTTCTTCCCTCTATTATAAACGACAAACCTTTCCTACAGAAGCCGCCTACTCGCAACAAAACCGCAGGACAAAGAGTTCTATTCAAGTAGGGAAAAGCAAGAAGGCAAAAAAAAGTTTTAGGTAAAACCGAATCAAATGGACATCATCTGTTTACCTGTGTGAAGGAACAGCTCCCCCGAATCTACGTCATGTACAATACAACCCTTCATAAAGTTAGGTTTGGCCCAATGAATAGGAGCACACCCCAAAGTAATTAAGGGAGAGCTCAGCCAGAGGCAGCTGTGAGAAGGGAAAGTAAGGTAGGTGGGAAGGGGCCATGGCTGGCTGGGACTCTATACCAATGAGAGGGGAAGAAAGTCAAAGGAAAGGAACCGGTAGAGTAGGGATCCAGAAGTCTGATGATTTGAGATGTGGACATGGCCGTGAGTGGCTACTTAATGTCCCAAGGAGGATGCTTTGCTGTATCCTCAGAAGGCTTGAGATTGGTAATCCCTGTGTATCCCTGGAGAGGGGTTACCGAAGAGATTTTTCCAATTTAGGGAATGCATAGGCCCAGCCCTTAGTGAATGAGCCCAGGGGCTGAGAGTGGGCCCCCTTTGCTCTCTGAATGAGGGAAATCGAAAGCATGACCCCTAGATGCCTGTCCTCCCAGGGTCGGTGGACCTTTGGGCCAGTGTGGGAGATTCCTTCTGTCTGGCTCCTGGGGGTGAGAAGGGTATGTCTGTGACTCTAGGGGACAAAACAAAGGCTCTCAACAGAAACACGCATCAGGAGCCAGGCTGTGGGGAGACAGGTATCTTCGAGTTTCTTACTCCCGAGCGCCATCCTGGTGGTGGTCTTGGGGGAGGAGTACTTCTGCCTGTACTTGTGGGGGGGTGCGGGGCAGGGACAGCAGTGGAGATGAGATGATTTGGAGAGGGGGGCCTGTGTCAGGGGGTGGGAGAATGAGGTCAGGAAGGGAGTATGAGTAGGTGCTGGGTAGAGGTGAGAGGCGATCACGAGGGAGGTGGCTGAGTGGGGGGAAGGAGGTGTCCCGCAGAAGGTACCTGGGGGGCGGAATAGCTTGTGGGGCTAGGGGCTAGGGAGTGGAGTTCAGGGGAGGAGGGAGGAGGAGATGGGTGTGGACCAGAGCAGGTAACTGGGGAGCACGGGGGTGCAGGAGGTTGGGGGCGGTGGGCGAGGAGGCTCCTGTGGGGCGTAAGGGATATGAAGTGTGGTTTGAGGGATGGGAGGGGGAGATGGGAGGGAAGGCGAGGCTGGAGGCTAAACTGGACCCTGCTCCAGGCTGAGGGGGGCGGGTAATAGGGGTGAACCTCTTTGCCAGTCTGGCCAGGCTCTGGGAGGTTCTGGGATACCCTCTGATGCCTGTTGGCAGGAAGATCTCAGAGCCGCCCTGTTGGCCACGGCTTGACAGGGTCAGGCAGCCCGGCTCCCCAGTGGTGGGCCGTGTCTGATTGGGAGGGGTCTTACCATGCCTCCCCCCATCCAGGGCTCCCTCAGCCCTGCTCAGACTGCAGGGTCCCTACAGCATCCTGCCCCAGGCAGCGGCTTCCTCCTTCCTCACAGCCTCATGGAGATCCCCATCCCCATCCCCATCCTAGGCCCAGGGTGGCTCCCTCACACCCCAGGTCCCTGAGGAGGAGGCCGCATCCTTTTGCCTCTTGGAGTTGGTGAGCTCACCCCTTTGTCTTAATGCCAATCTTCTGGGGTGGTGCCTGGGGGGAACCAGGCAGGAGGGGCTGCAGAACCCAAAGTAGCTCAAAGAAGATGGAATCATTCGACAGATAATTACGGTTTGCAAGTCACGGCTGAGCGTGGCACTTGGTGACCCTGTTGAGAGAGCGAGTGGACAGGAGGATTTTTGGTTCTTATCCAACACGGATGGACAGTGATGATGTGTTGGATCCAGTCAGGTTTCTGAAACCTCAATTAAGAGCAGGAGTCTAAAGGAAGCTGTATGAGGGGCAAAAGTGTCAACACCTCCCTCTCTCCCTATTCCAAAGTGGTCTTTCTATGAGAATATGAGAGGGAAGGGCGTAGGCATAGTGATGAGCAGTGATAGAAAATTCTAGCATCTACTGAGCACTTCCTGCATCAGAACTGTGCCAGATGCTTTATACCCAGCACTTCCATTTTCTTCTTTCTCAAATGCCATAAGACACACCATCCATTTAAAGATGCCCTTTGGGAGAAAAGGAAAACATAATGACCTTAAATGCACAATCGATTGTAAGACATATTGATTGCAGGAACATAATAACATATGAGAAAAAGTGAATCATAGTAGTGAAGAAATAAATACATTAGGTGTAGTACTCCCCACAGCCCTGAAAAGAATTATCCCTACTGTATGGTATGGATGAGTAAAGAGAGACACAGAGGCGGGGAGTGTTTCACCACCTGTTCAAGGCCACAAAGCCAACAAATAGCCATCAGAATCAGAACCCATGTTTGCCTGCCTTCAGGGCACACAACCTCTGCAAGGGTGGGGCTTGGGCAGCTATTTTTCATAGCCCAGGTCTGTCTTCAACCTTTTATCATCAGCACCCCCTCCCTCACCCTCCAAGCTCTGGAGATGTCTAGGAGGGGAAAGTAATTCATTGGGGTAGGGGGAGGGGAGCCAAAATAGTCAAATTACATTTTTCAGATTCAGATTAAGTCTTTAAAGGGTAAAACCCATGCATGCCGGGTTTTGCTGTGCACCGCAGGAAATCGAATTCAAGGATCCCTGTATTGCTGAAAATAGAATTGTAAAAAATAAAAGGAGTGGGGGGAGAAAGTGAACGAAACTAATCCTATTAAACGTGGTAGCATGTTTTTGTGGCACGCAGGGAGAGATTAAGCACAGGAAAGGGGATAAGTACTGCTTCAGTTTCACTAAACTAATGTGACAACTTGTCATTGGAAATCTTTGCAGCTTGTTAGTAGATGACTAGCTGATTCAGAAGTGTTTTCTATCATTCCCTTTGTGTCTCCCATGAGTTTTGTTTCTTTTTTCAATTTTCTTTCTTTTCCTGTTTCTTTCTTATCCACGCTGCTCTATTTTGCTTTTTAATCCTTCATGTCTCCTTCAAGTCAAAACATTTAGCTGGCTGTAATCAACGTTTGGTTCTGAGGATGCCCCTTGACCTTGTCTTGCCCAGAGAAGCCCCCAAAGGGAACTCGCGGCCCTCCATCCTCAACCCACTGTCTGTCCTGGTTCTTGAGAAATGGAGCTCCTGGGGGAAACATATTTCAAATTTCATTTGTCTGCAATCTTTCTTCTTTCTCCTTTTCTTTCTTCTTTTTTTGCTTTGTGCTTTTCCTCTCTCCTTTTTGCCTTTCATATCCACACCTTTTCCCCCTTCACTTACCCCTTCTCTGTTTTCCTGTCTCATTTCCTTCTTCTCTTTCTTTCCTCCCATCTTGTTCCTGGAATTTCTTTTACCCCTTTAATACACACCAGTAGCTCTCATATTCTTTCTCTCCTTCAGATAAGACAGTTAAATTGTAGAAGGAAGCTAGAAGTTCCTCCTGGTGGTTTCCATGTTGAATCAAAGGTGGCAACGTTGTGGGCAGGGGGATCAGGGCCAATCACAGACATGCAGGGAACAAAAGCTGATCCAAATCAAGAGGAAGCAAGAAGTTTAGGCTTGGTCACTGTCCTTCCAAAACAGGTGTCCAGCTTGTTTGGAAGCGTGGCTCCCAGTCCTGCTCTCCTCTGCCTTTGGCCTCGCTCTCTCCCATTCTCCTCCTCCCTCCCCCGC